TTAAATTCAACTTTAATCTTTTGAAAGGCAGAAGTATCAGTTCCAAGCCAGGAGAGAAAGTAGAAGGAAAGAATGAGCTTCCATGGTCTCATCTACACTGATCATTTAATGCAAATGGTTATGGAGACAATTACACAGGAAACCCTGGAGCCAATTTGAGGCACAGACTGGGATGACATAAACTACAGAGCACATTAAGAGCTTTCATTCACATGCTTTTGTGGGTGCCACAGTTTGAAGCTATCTTTAAACTGCATTAAATGGTCAGTGTAGATGGAGCCCTTGACTCACAATTCCACCTTCAAATCTTCAAAGAACATCGTACCAGATCTCACCAAGCACTATGTTATAGGAAGGATTGCAACTTTGGCAGTTGCTTCATTTTTCCTAATGCCACTACAGTCCACTATTTAAAAAGCCTCAAACTTGCTTTCAACCATCATGTCTCCCTAGACTCTGCCAAATCTTCTGAATATGTGTAGGTTGCATGCCTGGAAATGCCTCTCATGCTCCTCTTGGTCTCAAAATCTTTAAAAAGATTTGATTAAGCTAACAAAAAGAAAATCATTGAAAGGCTTTTCAGAAAGGTTACTCTCTTAAATCAAGGATGAGAGTAATAATGCAACAGAATAAAGGACCTGTAATGAAAACTGTCTTAAATTCAGTTACTTTCAAAAGATAAAATTGGTATAATTTGATTTTAAGCATTTAAACCTCCTGAAGCAGATAAAGCATTATCAGAACATTCTCCATTGATCGGAAGCACTCCATACAAAATGGCAATAAATGCTTCTAGTCATATGTCAAAAACTATACTACATATCTTGGGTTAAACTTCCTTACTATACCTTTAAATTTGAAATCTAACTCAATTTCACACTCTAGACAGATCCTGAAGATATTTTTTAAAGATCTAGATTATATTTATGCTTGTGTTCTCCACAATTCCAAAGGAAATCTTTTCCAGCCATTTTACAGTTTAACATGCAACCCCCAAGCCCACATGCAGCCCTACTATTGTTCAAACTCTTTCACTAAGCCCTGAAAAAACATAGGAGCACCTTCTCATCACATGGATAGACCAGACCAACAGTTTACACACTGGCTGCATGTCTCCACAGTCAGGGTAATGAAATAATTTCCCAATAGGCTATACAGGCAGTCCCCAAGTTACAAACAAGATAGGTTCTGTAGGTTTGTTCTTACGTTGAACTTATATGTAAGTCAGAGGATATTCATTTTAAGTGTAACTGCAGCCTATCTATCTATTTGGGTAGCAGAGGGAAGAATTAACATCCCTGTGGTGTTTGTTTTGCGATCTGTGTCCCTGTTCAGAAGATTTCACTTCACTTTCTGTCCCTGTGATATTTAGATTTTGAAATCTTTGGCTTGGTATGGAAACAAGGATTGGTGATAAAGCTTCCATGGAGACACTTTCCCCCCATGATAACTCTTTCAGGAGTGTAATTCCATTCCTAGAGGTAGGTTTCTCTCACTTCCTATTGTCTCAGTCCTGTTCTTAACTGTTGAGCCATTTGTAAGTCGGATATTTGTACCTCAGGGACTGCCTGTAGTTCCATGTGAATGACAGACAACACATTCCTCACAACTAAGTCCAATGTACAAGAAAAATGTTGCTCTATGTGCTTAGCCCAATAGGAGAAGAGGGAAGACATCAGCATCTTGAAGATAGTTTTACAGTCTTATCACATGAGCCAGGTGAACCATCCCACTTTGTCTGGCTTTGCCAAAGAAACAGAGGGTTAGCAGGGCAAATTTGTCGGCCCGTATGGCACACCCTCACAGCAATGCTTCCCTCATTGCACATGGAAAGTGTCGTGCAACTGGTGATGATCCGTGCTGGCTGTAGGTGGAGCCTCTGCTGGAGGTCCAGCAACATTGTGGGATGGGCAGCATACCCATCTATGTCTAGTCTGGCAGAGAAGTAAACAAGACTTTCTTCTTCCTTTCTCCTCCATACATTATCAAAATGTGCAGATAGATTGGGATATCTGCTGGGTCGGAATTGAGGAGAACACGAAAGACTTTAAAAAATGGTAGTTCATGAAATCAGATGTGTCTAATATACAATTTTTCTGACTACAACTTTGTATTCTCCAAGAACAAATTAAAAACTCAGAAAGGATGCATTGACAGGTTCAGTGCCTGTGAAGAGTTTGTCATGTCAAATATATGTTCACAGTAACAAATAGACTAATATACATGAAACATTCCATGTTAAATGTTTAGAACTAGCAGATTCCTGAAGATCCAGGACTGAAAGCCATTTTTTTGCATCGCAGTGTAAGCATAAATTTGATAGAAACTGCTATTCATCTTCGCTAAAACTTCTGTGCTACAAGGGTAAAACACTTTACTGAAAATCATGTGGAAATAAACTTTGATAGTTTCGAGTTTCTACACAACTCTGCTGCTATTTATATTAAGCATTCAGCAAATGGTGCTATCACAGCAAGAAATATTGTGTATACAATCAGCCTTCCAAGCCACACCTACATTAAACTGCTCTGACTGTTTCCCAGCTGGGGTTGACTTGCTAAATGCCCATACATGCTCATTTCAGAGTTTTTGCAGGTGTTTAGCCAAATACACCTTCACGGTTTTAAACCAACCTTTCAAGATTTTCTAGGAAACAGAACCATTCTACACATGACTAAAAACCCAGAAGTAACTGGTATTAAAAGGGGAGATGACTTAATAACATTTAGTCAAAGTGCAGGAGGAATTTGATTAACAACTAAAAAGCACGTGTTTAAAAGGTGTGCTTAAAACCCGATTCCACCCAAAAAAATGCAAACCTTTGCATGACTGTGTATCCCTGTTATGCAAAACACATGCGTTCCTTCCCTTCCCCTTGTGTGGACTGCTCCAACACACATGCACATTTTAAAAGCCCAAAACAGCTGATCAGCTGTCAAAAAATGGAGCCATAGACACACAGGTGGCTAAAGGGAAGCAGAACTGAAAAGCAATTAGAACTGTCTAAAGCCAGGCCTTTCTTTTGTTCTTTATAATATTAAACAGGACTTGAATTTAGAGTTGTGTGAGGAAAGAGAATAAGAAATCTGCTTGTGTGTACATTAAGATATTTGCATGTGCACATATGAGGTCCAGGACATCTCTGAGAGAATTTAAAAAAAAAAAGAAAGAAACTTCTGCCCGATTTCCCTTGTCCACCCTTTGTCTTGGTCTGCTTCAAAGGAAAATTTGAGGATGGTGGGGAACTTATACCAAGACTAACCAGTCTGTGTGTGAACCTGTTGTCAGTTGCCAGGATTTTTTGCCCCAGTTTTGAAACCCACATTTTGGCATTGTCTGGAAGCACCCACAGACAAAGCCTATTTTAAAAGATACATTTTACTGACTAATCATAGTCAGCGACCTACTTGTAAGTTTAATGACCTAATTGGAATTTTCAGGTTTTCAAATGCAACCTCAGGTAAAGCTTCTGGAATTGATCCAACTCAAATATTATTAGTAGCCAGGGGGTTTCAAGACTGAAAGTGTTGAAGCAGTTCTCCATTGCATACCAACAACAAAATTTAAGTTAAAAGTAGGCACATAAAACCATGGAAGAACATAATTTCCTGGCCAAAAGAAAATCTACTGACAATATCATTTATTATGTAATCTATAAATTGCTTTATGTAATCATTCCTAGAATGTATATTAGAATGAAACACAAAATTTTACATGAAACACAGAAAATTATGCTTTTGTAATAACCTGTTGATATCCCATGTCTTGCTCAATCATCTTGTACTAGGAATTCCAAATTTCTTTCTGATAATAAAGAAGAAAGGCATGGTACCTTCCTTTTGACTTTTTAATCCCGTTAGCCATTTTGGGGGGAAAAAACACAAAACCTAATTCTATGACTCACATTTTCATGACAGGCAGTTACATGGGACAAATTACACAGCCATGAAACTACAAAGAGCTAAATTGGCATTAGTGCAGTTTCATGTTAAACAAGTTGCTATGTTCCTTTGACATTAATACAGTATAGCATGCAACATATCAATTAAGAGAATGGAGCGGGGAGAGCCTTTTCACACATTAAAAATGCATAAAATGCTCTCTGTTACAGTATCAATTAATGTATCTCCTGCTACACCATTAGCTGAAGTATAAGAATGATGCCACTCAGCAGGTAAGTGCTTTAATGAAGGAAGCCCTGAATTCCAGGAAGGAACACCTGGGGCTGAAAATCGGAAAACACTTGTGAACAAAAAAGAGCCGCTGACTAATATGTTTTCTGGATCTTGGTCCCATGTGTTTCTAAAGAGGGTGGATGTAATTATACAGTGTGAAACATTCTAGCCTCTGAAAAAAGATTAACAAAAGCAAATAAAGAGAATATGCATTTTATGTTGGGCTGCCTGAACTGCAAAGTAACCTTAGAGAGTCATTTTCAATAAGCACCATTATTACAGAAAATATTGGTTTGGGTTTGTTTTTTTCCAAATGCTTAACACATCTGGCAAGGCAAGATCTCAACGTGACCAAATCAATATAATCTGAAGTCCAAAGGGAAATACAACCTGCTCATGCATTCACAAAATGTAAACACAAATTGGTAGAACATTTCTTTTGTGGTAAACCATAACCATGCCAAATGAAATGTTACTTAAGACTGACTTCTAATATATTAGACCTCTTTTCTCAACTGACAGAGAAATTAATATTTATATTAATTAGTTTGGATCCTAAAAAAATAGAAACTTCAGAGAAGTTAACAAAAAGGAAGTCTCTTCACCCTACCCTGTAAACATCTTTTTTTTTAAAAGACCTCTCTAGGTAATCTATCCAGAAATCCTCCTGAAGAATGTGGGGTAGCTGCAAGTAGTTCCTTGGGATTCCCCACAATTAGCATGTATATCTCTCATCTCTCTGCAGCTTCCCACGTCTTTAAATGTAGTTCTGGATTTTCTCTTCTTCTTAATACACTCTTCTTTTTTAGGCCAAAATGAGCTTACCTAATTTTGGCAGGGAATAGGGCATTCTGAAGTAGTCTTCGTAAAACTCAATTAGTCTCCGAGTAATATTTAGAGCATAGTCCCCAGATCCTCTTCTGATGGCATCAGGTCTTGCATACAATCGGATCTGATTGGAAAATAAAACAAAACAAAGGATAGGTCACCATGGTTCCCACATTTTTACCAGCTGCAAAGAAGATGTGGCTTTCTTTTCATATTTTCTCTATGATTCCCAGTATGATCAGAGTAGAGTGGTTTGGTGAAACAATGAGCCTTCAGAATCAAAATGGAACAATAGTAAGAGTGCCCTTATTCCAAAACTATCACTGAATATACAGCCAAATTCCCAGATTTCTAATGCAATTTGCATCAAATATAAATATTCAACACAATTGCTTACATGTGTTTTCTGGAGATAAGATGGCACAATGGATTAATATAACGGTTCTTTGCCTACTTTAAATGTACAAAAGCTAAGGTGGCTCAGTAGGAGAGGAGTTCATGGTAAGTTAAGAGCACTTCCCATAAAGCTCTGAACAGTCTGGGAGTCTGGGAAAGTAATATAATAATTCATCCACCCTTCTTTATACTAGCAGTGACAGTTTTTTCTTGATGAGCAAAATAAGCCCTTGGAAACAACCATTTATAAGCTTACTCATGTACATAAACAATTAGCATTCCTGAAGCTCATCCATGACTGCTCTAGGCCTCTATTTCTATTTTCAAAATGCAGTAAGTATATTAAAGCTGTGCATACTTCTTACACAGTTTTGATGTTGATGCTGCATTCAGCACAAAACATTTCAGCTGTCTTCTTGTACAAATCACCAGAATAAAAAAAGCTATTTCTTCATCTAGTGGGTGCAGGTTTTAGACTTCATTGCTTTCATAGGCTGGAAAAGACTCCATCTGCACAAGATATTGAGTCAGAATTCTTCAGAATTCTCTCTTACTGCTCGTGCTGGGGCAAATGGCCAATGGTTTCTGCGACAAGAGCAGCTAAGCAGTAGTTAAATTTGGGGCTGTACCTAAGTCCTAGATTGTCAGATGCTCTGACACTGGCACCATCATCAATTCTTGGTTTCTAATTTTTGCTGCAAACCCCACCCCCCACCCCATCAATTGTAGTGCAGACTCATCAATAAGGTTCTCTGCCCCTCTAAGTTCCTGTTTAGCTAGTTTAAGATTGTGTTATATGGCAGTCTAGACTTGTATAATCCAGTTCAAAGCAGATAATGTGGATTATCTGATTTGATAAACTGGATTATATGGCAGTGTAGAAGGGCCCTAAGGCTGGATCCATACTGCCATATAATCCAGTTTCGGAATGCAAATTAACTGCATTAAACTGGAATGTATGAGTCTGTTCTGCCATATAATCCAGTTCAATGTTGTTCTTTTTAAAATTCTCATGTTGGGATCAAGATTTAGGCACACATAACAGAGATGGAGAAGACGGCATCCCTTGTTCTTCCTTCTAAAATAAAGTCCAACATTCGCCACCTCCATGGTCATCAGTATTTTAAAGGGATCACCTTTTCCCTACACCACAAACATGTAGTAAGATAATCTGATGCTCTATGAAGAGTTGTCAAGGCATTGGGGAGGGGGCACAGCTATGGAGAAAAAGGAACAAGAAAGACTGCCAAAACCAGCCCCATTGCATGTGCCTATATCTCAATTCAACCCTATATTTGGAAGCATATAAACTAATACATTTCACTGATTTCTGCTGTTCACCAAAAACCATAGTTTAATGATGGCAATATGTAAATAGCATTATTTATTGCTTTGACTCTTTGCATTTAGATCCCTGCTCTTATGCATGGAACCTTTGCCACCTCCAAATATTTATTCATGTTTAGAGAATTAGATTGGACTTTAGATTGTGGCCTCATTATACAAATAGATGCAGCACAAATTTCTGAATGGTGATAATAGTTCTTGTGCATAGGTTCACCACATGCTCTCCTTCCTCAGTCTTGCTCACAGATATATGGTGTGCACCACCTAATGCACAAATACAAAATGAGGCATGTGCAAATAGCAAGGGGGGCTTTTCAACGCTGACTCCTAGTCATGAGATGTCTCTCTGTGAGTCTGATCAGATGGGGCAATTTTTGCATCCTAGGATGCATCCACTCTATTTTGGGGACACAGGCCCCATGCTGCCCATCACTCAATGTTGTGTAACTTCCAGTAGAGCCCCCCCCCCCCATTAAGATGGAAGCATCCTTGGGTGCTTCTCTCCCAACATGGGAGCTTGCCATTGGAGCCAGCTCAGGTCCTCACCAGGAAGGCAACGCTTCCCACATGTGATGGGAGAAGCGCCACCACAATGGAGTGGCATGCAGGGCAACAGATTCGCCCCATTGCCCATTCTGTCTGATGGTGAGGCAGGATGCTTTGCCTGGCCTTTGTGATGTGTTGTTAAATAAATGGCTTGGTATACATATGATCCTTACAGCAACTTTTATCTTCCCATACATTTCAGTGTTTTACTGCTTTTCAGCGAATGAGCTAGAGCTTCCATTTTGGACACAGAATGGAGTTCCTGTAATTTTAAGCTTGAACAGATCCTGAACAGATTGTCGAGTAGGATAAGGTACTATGAAGCTATATGAGGTTGGTGGAAGTACCTGTCTCCACTGCCTTCCAAATTACCCATTACCTTTTTATCATTGGGGCCCCCATACTCCCATCCCTCTTATTTCCATTGTCAAGTCAAAAGCTATGCCAGAATAGATGGTGACAGCTAAAATTGTTGTCTTTATGGTATTATTTTATATCCCACCTTTTCCCCAAGTCGGTACACAAAAATTGAAAAGTGATTAAGCTATCCAAAAATAAAAATGAATTCAATTCAATTCAATTCAACTGTGATTACAGTACCAAAAGGTTACAGGAAACTGGCACAAATACTGCTAAGCATGATTTTGCTCTGGGTAGATTTATAAAGGTTCTCTTTTGACAGTGCCTTTCTTTTTTAAAAACTTATTTTTATTATACTCTGAGAATTTTGAATATCAAGATAATAGGGAGAGGAAGGTGGCAGTGGTCATGCTCACCCATACCGAGACTGCATTGGCACGGGTGGAGTGTATGGCAATCCCTTGCCACCAATGTGGCCTCCAAATGCAACACAAACTGCATTTCAGCCAGTGTGGAAACACCATATGATTGCCAACATAAATAAGTCCAACAAAAGAAACACTTAAGTCACTTTGGAAATCTATATTCCACAGCAATGACTGTATATAAATGACTATGGTACTTCCTTTTCTGTTGAAAAGATTTAGCAATGTACTTTAGATTCATTTTACAGAGTAAAATCAATCAGCAGTGTATGAAACACATGAGTGTGTACAGTTATCTTCCCAGCACTATGTACTTAAATTTAAATGGTAGATGGCGAGGGAAACCAATGCTGCTGCTCCAGTTTTCATAAAAGCAACAGGAACTAACCATTATCTCTCTTGTTGTTGCTATACTAGACCCACAAGGTAATGTTTAGAAACATTTTTGGAGACTTCTCCAAGGATAAAACTTTCATTTGAATAAATTTTGAAGGCATCCATTTCCACAGAATGAAGAAAGACATCTTCCCAGACAGGCGTCAAGTGTCTTTCATATAACAAATCTTGGAAGGGTTGTGTGCAGTGCGGAAAATATGTAGATAAAACCAATTTACTCCACCTCTAGCTATCCACCACATAAATAATTTTAACTCAGTTCCATCTGTACTGCAAACAAACATTACTGCAGGCTTAATATTAACATGGTGGCATCATTCCATCTGCTCAATAGAAAATATAGTATCAAATGACTTTCTTTGGAGTTCTGAAGCACTACTTGAAAAAAAAATGGTTCATTTTCAAAACTGAGATGTAATGTCTTAGCAGAATATTTAATGACTGTCTATTTCTAAGGTAATGGAAAATGGAAAACAATATAATTAACCTAACGATTCATGTAATATAATGGGGTTTTCCTCTCTTGAGATTCTTTTTCTAGTTTTCTGCACTTGCAGCAATGAACCATAGCAATATAATCTTCATGATTTTAACCACTTAGTGCAGGAAAGAGAATACTAGTGTACTGGAAAAAAAAATAACAAAAAACACTAGACTCTTCATTCACATTGAGTTTTACAATATACATGGAGTATAACTTTGAATATGTTTTAACGGTTTTTAAATGGAATTATTTAGAAGTACAGCTTATTTAATCCTGTTTTAATGTTTGCATATTTGTATATTTTAAATTGTATGTGGATGCTTTTATGTTAAGCCGCTTTGAATCTCTTGCAGGAGAGATAAAGCGGGGTATAAATAAATATTATAATAACAACACAATCATTGTAAAATACATTTATGTAACTATTAGCATATTCTGTCTCCCAAAGCCCCTATACATGCTTTTTAGATCCTTATTATAATCTGCTGTGTTACCAATGCAAAGTGAGCAGTCAACCAGGATTTTGACCATGGTTAATTAATCTTTAACTAATAAAGGAGTCTGGATGAGCTAGCACATTATGTATTAAACTCAGGTCATATGAGTTTAACACATTTTCATTTTTTGGCATCAGTATGCATGACTGAGAATCACTATGACCCCTGAGTTGTGATGTTAAATATTTAAAAGAAGAAGGTTTACAAACTTTAAATCATGGCACTTCCTTTTACAATGCAAAATGATGAACCATTTCATTCTGTAGTGGGGCATTTTGTATCAATCAAATCAGGGTGTCTCTAATTACCTGTATTTTCTTCCAGGGGTTTAAAAAATTCTCAATATAGCCACTGGCTGACAGCTGAAGGTGTGGTTCTAAAAAGTAACTTTTTAAAGCTCCTGTTTCCTTAATCATGTTGAAATGGCAGGCCTGTGTCTAAGGGTACATATGTACTTTAAAAWTAATGCAGTTTGATTTCACTTTAACTGCTATAGCTCAAGGCTATGGAATTCTGGGATTTGTAGCTTGGTGAGGCACCAGTGTTCTTCAGCAGAGAAGACTAAAGACCTTTTAAAACTACACCCCCCCCCCCCCCCAGGATTCCATAGCACTACTCCATTGCAGTTAAAGTGGTGTCAAACTACATTAATTCCTCAGTGTAGATGAACTCT